TCCACTCCTGACACCAGATGTTTTCAGTAACTGCTCAGCTACGAGTTGCCTGGGGGAACTCAGCTTCACACAGCATTCATGTCCTACCTGGTCAGTGCTGGGTACCACCAGCAACTGCCCCAGCACAGAGTAGAGCCCCTTCAAAGAACAATTCTATGTATACAGACCATGAACTCCCACAGGAGTATACCAAACCCAAAGAGAGTACTACATGGAGGCTCTCAAGCCCACATGGATGACATCTGAAATCAGTGAACTGGGATAGATGAATGCTTCCTGAAGAGACTGATAGGGAAACACTCTGCTACTCCATGTGCAGCATCCCCAAGAGTGAAGCACTGCATGACTCTTGGACAAAGCTGGTGGGAGGCAGCAAAAGTGCTGATGGGCAACACAGCCCAGCTGCCAAAACCTGCACCAGTACTAAACACTGAGAGCATGAAAAAGAGTCGATTTGGCTCTGCTCTGGAAGACAAGGATTTGTGAACACCCAGGGACCAGAAGTATGGTGAGCAGGGAGCGTGATGATGCTCAAGCATTGAGGATGCTCAGGAGAGAAAGAAACCAAACAGGAATTGAATATAAATGACTAGTAACTGTCCAGAAAACAGCTTATCAACAAGGGCAGAAGGTGAAAGAGCAGCATTATTTCACTGTAGAAGTTACCCACTGAACCCAGAAGCCCTAAATATCCCCAGCTTTTGTTTAAATTAGTGCTTATCCTCCACTTTGCCTGGCAACATTCAGAGTGACAAGGAAATTGTCACAGCACTGAAATGGGAGGAAGGCAAAGATGTGCACAAGTTAAGACTGCCCTTTTAGGAAGGACAATAAGCCAGGCCTGGAAATGCCACATGTGGTCATTAAGAACCTTTTCATATTGTACCTGTTTCCTTTTCACACACACAGGTCTAGGCTGGGAGGAGAAAATGGCTGGTGGGGGGAAGAGGAGTTTTCCTTTGGTTAGGAGAGTAGCTGAGGTGAACTGTGTTGAATAGCCTCATTACCCAGGGCTCCCTCACCTCCAGTTTTGCAGTCAGTGATTGGACTTGCTCTTTGTTTAACAAACTATCTGCAGGAATGATCTGTGGATATCCTGGTCAGCAAGTCTAAGGAAAGATCACAATCACAGGGCCAAATGCTGTGATACAAAACAAATGTCAGATAAACCCCACTAGATAAACCTCTGCATACTGCATACAAGTGCTTTCATCTGCAAGACATGTGCTTGCCATTTAAATGGGCCATAGCAACTCCCCACATTTCCATGGGGAAAAATCCACGCATGTTCCAGAGTCCAAAGGCCAAAACCTTAATTTAGTTCCCTTCATTAGATAGATGATGAGCATTTTTGCTTTTAAGTATAGATAGAAATGTATTTATGGGAGGCAGCACCTGCTCCATTGGCCCTGTCCCTCTATACCTGCAATGCTGATTCATAGAGGCCAACACAAAGAGTACCTGGGTGTGCATCCAGAGAACCACGGAATCACAGAATATGCTGAGCTGGAAGGGACTAACAGGGGTCATCAAGTCCACCTCCCGATCCTGCACAAAACCATCCCCAAGAGACACACCATGTGCCTGAGAGTATTGTCCAAACACTTACTGAACTCTGTCAGACTTGGTGCTGTGACCACTTCCCTGGGGAGCCTGTTCCAATGCCCAAACACCCTCTGGGGGAAGAAACTCTAATATCCAATCTAAGCCTCTCCTGACACAGCTTCAGGCCATTCCCTTGGTCCTGTCACTGGTCACCACAGAGCAGAGATCAGTGCCTGCTCCTCCTCTTCCCCTCACAAGGAAGTTGTAACTGCAGTGAGGTCTCCCCTCAGTCTCCTCCAGCTAAACAGACCAAGTGCCCTCAGCTGCTCCTCATACGGCTTCCCCTCGAGGCCTTGAGGAAGCTCACTAACAGCTTAATATCTTTCTTATATTGTGGTACCCAAAACTGCCACAATATTCCAGGTGAGGCCACCCCAGTGCAGAGCACAGCAGGACAATCCCCTCCCTCAATCAGCTACAGATGCTTTGCCTGATGTCCCCCAGGACAGGGTTGGCCTTCCTGGCTGCCAGGGCACTGCTAACTCATATTTAACTTGCCATTGACCAGGACTCCCAGGTCCCTTTCCACGGCACTGCTCTCCAGCCTCTCATTCCCCAGTCTGGCTGTACATCCAGGTTTGTGCCTCCCCAGCTGCAGAATCCAGTACTTCCCCTTGCGGAACTTCATATGGTTAGTGATTATCCAGTCCTCTAATTTGTAGTATCTCTTCCAGTTCTGCATCCAAGTCATTTATGAAGGGCCTAAGAAGGAGCCCTGTGGAACCCCACTAGTGACAGGTCACCAGTCTCATGTCACCCCATTCACTATCACCCTCTGTGCTCGACCCGTGAGCCAATTGCTCACCCACCACATGATGTGTTTATCCAGCTGTGGGCTCGACATTTTGTCCAGGAAACTGTCAGAGACAGTATCAAAAGCTTTACTGAAACTCCAAAAGATTACATCAACTGGCTTCCCCTGATCAACCAGGTGGTTTACCTTGTCATAAAAGGAAATCAGGTTTGATAAGCAGGACTTTCCTCTCATGAATCTGTGCTGGCTGTGACCAATGACTGCATTGTCTTTCAGGTGTTTTTCAATACCTCCCAGAATAATCTTTTCCATAACTTTTCCAGGCACTGAAGTGAGACTGACAGGCCTGTAGTTTCCAGGGTCCTCCTTCTTGCCCTTAAAAAAATCGAGACAACATTCACCAGCTTCATTTGTCAGCTTTCACACAGTGCTTGGCTGTTCACAGTGCTGTCCCAACTTCTGTGGCCACTGGTGAGGAGCAATGACCCCAACACTAACAGTTGTTTCACAGGACTCTTGTGAATGAGGTGAGAATCATTAACATTGCTTTACAAGCAACAGTGTTTCTTACCCAAAGGCTTACAGGTGTCCCTTGAGGAATGGGCAAATAATGTTATTTAGCTTTACTAAATAAACTCCTACAACACACAAAACTGGAGCTCAGCTTTCATGAAATCTTGCAGTAACTTCATGTTCCAGTCCAAGCACATATGGAGTCATGGGAAGGTCTCAGCCTGTGGTGGCTTGGTGTTAGCCTGCAGGACAGAAAAGCAGCCAGTGCCCAGCCAGAGGCTTTGGCATGCACCACAGGTGCTCCAAGATGCTCAAAACAAGAACCTCTTATTTCCTTCCCTTCCTGGTAGAAAGTTCCCCCAAATCTCTGCCACTGCTCGGTGAGACCAGAATTGGGGCAGGGGACATGTTCCAAAGGCAAACGTCAGCCACCAGGGTTTGGGGTACAAGAGAGTTAGATCCTTCTTCTGCAACAGGGCTGGGCACAAGAGGGGTGTGGCAGGGCAGGCCCAGTGTGTGAGACCAACTCTGCACCATTTTTCAGAAGGGAAGGCTGTGAGTAAAAGCAGCAATTCACTCCTCAGCCTCTCAGCACTGCTATATATATATATATACATAGTACACAGGTACCAGTTCATGGAGCTTGGCTTTATTAGGAAAAGTTTCAAAATCTGGAAACTGGCCACCAAAAAACCAGCCTGGGCACTGAAATGTTGCATTTCTCCCCTCAGATGAAATACAAAAGCCTAGCAGGGTGGACACATGAGTGTAGCATGTTCCTGGGTACAAGGCTGATAAACAGTCACGAAGACTGAAAACTGGAGAAATAGATTGCAAGAAATACATACGGTCAAATCACAGTGCAGTAGCACTAGGAGAAGACATCCAAGAGGAGTTTGTGTGAAATTTCTGGATTGTTCACTGTAGGTTTGAGGTACCAAAACTGCTGAAAACTTGGGCTGCATGGCACAGACTGAATACTACAGGATCTCACTGCTGGCATCAGATGGAAAACATTCTCTTTGTGGGACAATATATCCATAAAAGCACAGCTTGTTGTATAACTCAGTTTTACATATACATAAACATATACACTTTTTTTTTTTTAAGGACACTGTTCCATTGCCACCACTGTATGAATCTGTAAATTTTCTGCTGAGGCAGTAGGACTGAACTGAAAATGAGTGATACTCCCTAGATGCACATATAAACAATATACACCCACGCACCCAGGGAGCATGAGCAACACCAAATACCTGTTCAAGCACTAAAAACCACTTCCATGGGCATTTCTTCAGGATATCATGGTGGCCTGTGGGAGTGATTCAGTGAGGTCCTAATACTGCTCATGCTTAGCATCTGGCTCCATTTCAGGTGTAACATTTACACAGACAAAAAGTAAAAAAAAAAAAAAAAAAAAAAATTAAAGTTTTGCCCTTTTTTTTTTAATCCAGGCTTGAAGAACCTGTCAGTCACAGCCATGAATCACATAAAAACAAAACTAATGCTACAATAAATTTCTGTTTCCCGTAAGAGAAAAAACACACATGCTGATATGAAACACGGTGGGAATATTGCAACTGTCTCACTGAGACACTGAATTCAGACCTGTCAGCTCTGTGGTACCCAGGTTGTACACAGTGCTTGCTTGAAAATATCACTCTTCAGCCACATCCTGGCTCCCTGCTGTCTCCATTCCCCAAGGTTTAGCTTATGAGGTAGAAAACGTGTAGGCACCGGCTTCGAGCAGCAGTTCCTACAGACCACCTTTCAGAAGTCTGGGTGACTGCTGAGGTGATTGTTGCGTCTCAGTGCCCTGCTCAGAGGAGAGAGACCAGGAAACCTGTGCATTCAGGGCTGGGAGCACCCCCAGTGCAGCCACACAGGGTGAAACTACCACCCTGATTTCCAGACAAACACCTGCCAAACAACAGCAAACGCCGCTGCTCGAGTTCCTGGGAACCCAGGGTGTCTCAAGTGTATTTCAGACTGTTAAAGCATTAGTAAAGGGTTTTGCTTCCCTGAAGAGGGCTCTCCGCCTCAGTTTATATAAACAGCGTGATGGTTTTACAATATCAGGAAGGGGAAAAAAAAAGAAAACAACAAACCAAAACAAGACAGACGATACCTGTTGTAACTCCATCTACTGTAAGACATGTTCCTGTTGCTGCTGACACTATCCATCTCCGGCTCAGCTACAGCACTTCCAGCATTGCTCGTCTCCCGCAGGCACCGGCTGCTGGGCTTGGAATTCAAACACCTTCCTGCAGACGGGCCCGCCGTGGGGATGAGAGCAGACGCCTCCGGCCTTCCGCGGCAGGACCGAAATTCACCGCGGAGCAGCGGCTTCGCATCCAGCTCTGGATGCTCGGAGCAAACCACTGTCAGCGCAGGGAGGGAGAGAGGGAGGGATGAAGAGAGGGGGAGGCTCCTGGGGTCCCTGCCGAGGGGACCCGGCGGCAGGATGCTCTCAGCCGCCCGGGAGACACGAAGACGCTCAGGTAATAAACTGGAGCAAGGGTGCTAAGCTGCTTAAGAGATATTCAGCGAGCCTGTGCTGAGGAGTGCAGCAGCTTGTGCGCCTCCTGCTCCAGCACACACGCCTTATTTATTTATTTATTCTGGTTGCCACAGATACGGGTCCAGCGCTCTGACATCAGCCGCCTCCCACCCACCACCGGTCCCTGGGTCTCGCCAACATGATCTTCCAGGCAGGCACCGATCACATCCCCGCATGTGGGGTCAGCGCTGGGAGCCGGCTGCGCTCAGGCAGCTCCACGGGATCATCTCCCCTCCCGGGGCATGGCCTTGCCGCTCATCCTCCCGCAGCACTCTCTGCAGCCCGTGCCTGGCAGGTGGGTGTACAGGCTTCTCCAGGGGCCACTCAGAGTTCAGAAAAAACGCTTTGCACACCCCATTTCAGTCACCGTTTTTCAACAGCCCATGGCCCCAGTTCGTGCCAGAACTGCAGCAGCAATGTCACAGCCCTCCAGCCTCAACGTGACCCTGGCCTTGGGTGTAGGACTGAAAGCCAAACGAAAGCACTTCATGGCTCCTGCTCTCGTGTCCCTGATGGTAACCAGCAGTGTTCAGTGCCAGGGCCGGTGGGTCCCTCATTTCACCTGCCAGCTGCAGGAAGCACAGGGGATGCAATGCTCCCAGGTGCCCACACCTGCCCACTGCTGGGAATCAAATCTTTCCTGCTCATTGAAGATTTTCTGATCAGTTCTGATAACCACAATATGAAGGGACTGTGTGAGAGTAGTTCAAACTGAAACACTTTACCAAAACAACAAAACAAAAACAACAAAAAACTTTCTTTAAATTAACTTGTGGTTTTCCTTTCATGAAAAGAAAAGTTAAACAGAGCTTGTCCAGCACCTTTGCCTTTTCAAGAGGCTTTATTACAGCTCTGCCTTCAAACTGTGCAGTGGTTTCTTGCATCTCTTCTTAAAATATTTTCTTGCTCTCAGCTTCCCAGTGTCACAAGATTGTGAAGTTTGCATGGCTGTGCAGTGTCAGGATCATGACCCTCTGCACGGGGCATCCTTCACAAATCCTACCAAAGACCAAGGCTTACTGATGGTGCTCTGAAGACAGTCCCAGGAAAAGGATGTCTGCAGAGTCAGGTGTAGACAGACACAGGTTTGTTTCTCCAGATGCTGGTTCAGAACTGCCAAGACCTTGTGGTGCACAGCACTGCTCAGGGCACCGTGCCCTGCCTGACACTTCCCTCCTGATTTAAGGAGCTATCCCTTCTCAATCTCCCATAACACCACAAGCACAGGGGGCTGCCCAGAGGACCTGACCATACCCTGACCAAGAGAGACGCTACCAGAAGCAGTGTCAGGTCAGCACAGTCACCCCCAGGGTGACCCAGGATGTCTACAATACCCCATGTGTCTACATACTGCTCTCAAACCTTTCCCAGCCAGTCTTTGGCCTGCATTAGCCCCTCCTGGACCCTTTCCTCACTGCTTGGTCACTCAGGTGGCCAGCCCTGGTCTAAGCAGTATGCACTCCCAGCTCCTACATGTAAAATCTCTCAGGAGTAATTACTAAAAATCCCAAGCTTACATAACTATGGACTGGAAGGGACTTGGGTCAATGAGGCTCAATCTCTCATCTCACAAACAACAGTATCTGATGAGTGGTTTGAGGCTGAAGCTCCAGAGGCTGGTAGTGAACAGCTCCTTGAGCTCTACCCTGCCAAGAGACAGAGACTTCCCTTTCCTAGCTCGAAGGTATACACAGACATCTGTTATCCACTTGTTCATGAAATGTCCAGTTCCTTCAGTTCAAGTAAATGAATACCTGTCATCAATCTTTTAACTTCCAGTCTTCATTTTCAGAGGGTGAATAGGCCAAACCCTTCATGCCTTCCCATCAGGATAGGCAGAACCAGCCTAATAGCTTTTTTCATGTATCACTTTTAACTCAAATCAAACCTTTCCTGAATATGGGCGATATTTGTCAACACTTTCAAATAGGGAAAACATCAATCAGGTTTCCTTGGAATGGCACTTAAGATGCCCAGACTCAAGCCTTGCTCCTTGTATATACCCTGCAAGTCTGTCATCCCAACCTCTGTAACAGATGCTGTTATGTACAGGCAGCACATTCCCATTTATCTTATTTATAATCCACACTGAGTGACTTGAATGAAATGGACCATCTGAAAAGGAGGGAGTTACAGCCCATCTCTTCCACCTACCTGCTCTGCTTACCATCGAGACAATTGTAAATGGGCAAACTGAAACCTCACCATTTACTTGCCTGTTGGATTACTTAAGCCAACATTTTTCACATGGGAGCAGCTGAAAATCACCCTGGTGAGCCCCTGTATCCCAGAGAAGCCTCTGTCAGAAGCAAACACTTAAAGGCACATCAATAAAAGCAAGGAGCACAGGTTGGCTGTTGGACTATGGGCTCTCCTCTCCACATGAGAGAAGCATAGCTCGCTGGCACCTCAGGCTCCTTCTCACCATCCTGGACCAAAGCACTGAGGAGGAGAACATCAACCATGGTGGTTCGTGCTGAGACCCCCATAATTATCTTGTCCCAGCATGCTGAGGCAGGTGGGCTTTGGGTTGACCCCACTGACCCTCATGGCAAACACAGCCTTTCCAGATGAGTAACACACCAAAACCAAAACCCCACACATAAACAGAGTACCATTTCGGCAGAGCAGTGCTTGGACAACTGGCCTGTGTCTGCATCGGGGTATCCCTTCACACACGTACTAGGAGAAGAAGTGCTCCAGAATAAAACCAAGTGTGGTCTCCACTGCTCCGCTGCAGGTAAACAGTGGTCTAAGACTTCTCAGTAAAACACTCTGGACAGCAGATTTAGCCGCCAAGGACATAACTGTCTCCCTGCTTCCTGCATATGGTTGACAAACTCCCTGAATGCAAAAATCTCCCAACTCTCCTGCTCAGGAGTTTCTCAATTCTTGTTTCACTATTTCAAAACAAACACTAATGACTGACAGTGAAGCCTTTGCCTGTGATTAACTGTGATTACCTCCAGCTCCTGGTGCAGAGCTGTGGCTTTCCTCTGCAAGTCTGCCAGCTCCACTTCTGCCCCCCGACCTCACAACCTGCATTGCTGACAGTATCACTTCGAACTTGAAATTTCCAAAAAGGCTTCAGTGGGGAAGCTGGGGAACTCATAAGCTAATGCAAGGTGAAGAGACACAAAATGAGATCCATGCTGGAATTCAGTCAGAAAGATAAATGGTTGTCTTGGCATGTGTTCTGCTCTGCTCCCAGCGCTGCAAGGCTCATGTCACCACGTGTTTGTGCACGGCCACATCTACGCACATCCAAACTGAGTCACATCTGCTCCCTGTTTCAAGAAATTCCCTCTGACCACTGCAGATACAGGGACATCTCAAAGCAAGCATGTTTAATGTGGGGGAAGCAAGGGGCTAGACTTCTGGATTACAACATATGAGTACTGGAGCATAGAATTTCAGATCTTAAAATTGTTGAGAGGCTGCCCGACAGAGTGCCCATCCCAGTGCTAGTTGGGGGAAAGACTGGAACTGAGCACCAAGAAAACACAAAACCTTCCTTTTTTTCAGGTATTTAGTATATGCCAAGTGACCTTATCACTCAAATTAAAGTGATCTGGAATATTGGCTTGAGCTGTCGAAATACCACAGAAACTGAACTGGCAGCAGGGCTGAAGCAAACAGGCTGTTCCTGCATTTCCATGCTGGCACATACCCTGCTGCAAACAAGTGATAAACTACCTGCTGAGTCACTGGATGAAGCCTAACAGGTTTAACAGCAGAAAGTCAAGAACCCTGCATAGAACAACTCAGATTAGGTATTCTAGAAATACTCTGGGGTCTAAGTGCACATTTTGGCGTGCCCAGACAGTAATTTTCCCAGCAAAACATCGTGTTTGTGACCAACCATTTGTTCCATCATCGGGTGTCTGTGGCTGCAGAATCTGTCCCTTCATTACAGTCCAGAGGTGAGCTCTGTAGAGACACAGACAGTGCTCTGTTCTGCCCAGCCAGAAAGGCACTGACCAGAGCAGACTATGGCATCGACTTTCCTGCTCCAAAACCTCAGCACCAGCACGGACCTGCTAAGTGGATGAATCACCAGGATCTCCCCTCCTATGAGCGGGATCGCAGCTGCCCACACCAGGACTGCTCAGGCCGTTTTCCAGCCACCACCCCAAACAATTCCTCAATGAGATTACGAGTCCTTCAGCAGTGCTAATTAGTGCTTACGCAAGCAAGGATTTCTCCAAGCCCCTGGGGCTGCTGCCTGGAGAGGACGATGCTGCCTGGTCTGCAGGCAGTGCCCAGAGACCGGGACCTGCACAGGAGGAATGGGGCACTAACGCCCTTCCTTTCCCTGCTGCTTCTACAGAGAAGTTCCTCCCTTCCTCCTCCTGGGGGGTTGCCCCGTTGAAACTCCGACCAGCCAGTCTCCAGGTGAGGAGAAGATGAAAGGAGAGTGAGAACAGAGGAGATCTGGTCCCCTAAGTACCATTTTAAGACGGGGTTTTTTCAGAAAAATCACCATCACGTGATGCACAAACACTGTCCCGCCTCCAGCAGGCAGCCGGGGGACAGTGCCAGGGTGACATTTACGAGTTATCAGCAGGAGACTATTATAACCCAGCCTGCATGTCAGCTCCGAAGTCAGGCTGGATTGAACAAAACACGCATGTTTTCCTTCAGTAACCAGACGTGTTTTAGGACAGCTACAGGAAAACCTCAAAAATCAGTTACAAACCCTT